GTTTCATTCGCAAGTTGTCAAATTGGGTACCACATGAATTGACGCCAGCGCAAGCTGAAAGGCGTTTAGTGACTTGCGAAATGCTGCTCGCAAGGCACAAAAAAAGAGGTTTTCTGTATCGAATTGTCACTGGTGACGAAAAATGGATTCATTACGATAACCCCAAGCGCAAAGCATCGTATGTTAAGCCCGGCCAACCAGCAACATCACAGCCAAAACAAGAAATTCACGGCGACAAGGTAATGCTGTCTATTTGGTGGGATGAGGAGGGAGTGGTGTATTATGAGCTGCTGAGAAGTGGTCAAACCATCGATGGGCCTTTCTACCGACAACAATTGATACGTTTGAAACAAGCAATCAAAGAAAAACGCACGAAATGGGAGACCAGAAAAGAGACATTGATTTTCCTACATGACAATGCTCGGCCACACATTGAGAAATCGGTCAAAAACTACTTGGAAAATAGCGGATGGGAAGTTTTGGCTCACGCCCCGTATAGCCCAGACCTGGCTCCTTCCGACTACCATTTGTTTCGATCGATGCAAAACCATATGGACGGAGAGCGGTTCTCTTCAGTTGAAGAAATCCAAAATTGGCTCGATGAATTTATAGCCTCAAAAGATGAGGAATTTTTTAAGGCAGGCATCCGTCAATTGCCCACATTGTGGCAGAAGGTCATCGCTTCCGATGGACAATATTTTGATTGAAATGTAATTTCATTTTGGTATTCAAATAAATGTTTGAAAATTTAAAAAAAATCGACAAAACTAATTCCCAGACCCAATAATTACAAAAATGGTTTGGCTTTCATTACACTACACATATCAAAACTCTTTGAAATGCAAAGAATAAATCAAGCCTCTGGGCACTTTATCTGTACCAACAACTGGATCATCATGAAAGTGAATAGTGATATCTGGGTGAATATGTACTTCTGTTTTCAAGAGACCACCTGTACAACAGCCATTTTTTGGTGGGGACTGTCGCATTCGAATTTTGTACATGCATCCAGGTCTAAGGAGAATTGGCTTGGTCTATGTGATTTGCGTAGGTTCATTATGCAGTAAAACGGTTTCTTCATTATGCAAAACAACCTCAGAACGCGATGGGCCACATTGTTCGATGACTTCTACTTTAGTTGGTACGTTTTCTTTGATGCGAATGACATTTTTTGAAATTGATTCAAATAAATTATCACACATGAATGCCGTTAGCAAAAGTGGTCGATTGCATGAAAATACGGTGGTCTCAACGTCCTTGATGTTATATATCTTGATGGAACAATATTTGGAAATCAGTCGATTGCATTCAATCGTAGGACTATTGTTTGGATTGGTCGTTTCAGCACGCTTTCGACGAACTTCGGTGAATACTTTTGGTTGATATTCATCTGATCCCATCATTTGGACAATATCTTTGTACTCATCAATTGAAAACAAATCACCATGTGACGGGATCAACGAGGCAATTTCCTTTGATGATATGGAACCAAAACGTATTTTGTTCATCAAACCGCCAAGTTCAGCATGCACAATTTCTCTGGTTAGCTCATTCTGATTACTCGATGATTTGACCCATGAAATGCAGGCTTCGAACAATTCCGGCTCGGAACAATTCATCGAATCCAAATTCAGAATGTGTTCCAAAACATCTCGGTCACATTCCAGAAAGTTTTTAGAAGCAAACACATCTTTGGTGTTGATGCTGATTACTATTTTACATAGATTCTTCAAACTTTCTTGACCGAAAAGAATTGCAAGTCCATAGCCCCAGCAGACGTTATCAGCAGACAATGTACTTTCTATGAATTTTACACACACGTTCAAACCGTCGGCTAAATTGTATTTATTGGCGAGGTACATGACCTTAGAAACGTTAGCGGCAGTTATTTTCACTCGCCCCAGGTAAAAGAACTGTAAGAATTCCCCGAACGCAGCGACCGGCGAGTCGACAATTCCAACTTCATCCATCTCTTCCCACGATCCATTGAACATCGCTTCAAAGACATCGCTTGCGGCGATCAAGAAATTTTTGTGAGCCGGAACACGTTCATATTCACCATCATTTGTTTCAAAGATAAAGTGGAAATCGGCCAGCCTTTCGTTCAGGTACAACTTTTCGCCGATCATTGAACAAATCGGACTTGGAAATTCATCAGTTTGATTCGAAGACTGTGACATGATTGAATTGACGTTCTATTTCAGCCGATTTTGGTGTGTTTTAATCTTTTGCAACTGGTAATGACACTCTGCTGGACTAACTGATTGAAATTCGATGCGCTGAAATTTCAAAGTTGGGACCAAAGATGAAAATTCAATTTAAAACCGATATTTTTCGATAGTTTTCATACCTTTACCAATGATTCGCGGTTCCTGACGGTGTTGTTGGTTGGTGCAATTGATCAGAATGAGGTTAAGTTCAACAGGTTGTAAACAACTGTTCGCCGGTGACTCTGTAGACAAATAAAAACCATCAAAATGATTGCAGCAAAAGAATCAATGTTTTTTCTTTAAATTTTTTATGAAAATTTTCGTATTAGAATGAAGGAACTTAATTAGAATACACATACGATCTTGATTACACTTTAGCGATTACTCCAAAACCTTGATTTCCAAACATACCTTAAGCTGACTTTGAGATGGTGGTAAAATCCACAAATGATTCAATCTTGATACTTTTTTCAATTAATCTATTCGATTTTTCGGACTTTAGCACATGGAATTTATTATTATTTCCAAATGAAAATTCACATCAATAGTGAAGAAATTGTTTATTGGTTTATTTGTATTTTATAGGACGACTTGAACGATAATGCCCCTTATTTGACATTTGCTCACGGTTTTTCATATGACAGCTCGTTCACTCAATTCCATTGCAGAGCTAATCGGTGAGTAAGTACGAAAGACAGCATTTGCGCTTATTAGCACAAACGTCACTTTTGTTTATGTTTTGCATTGAGGCGCAATTCAAATTTTGTTCAAAAAATATTTAATAAACTCATTCCATCCATTCAAAATTACTTTATTTCAATGACATTAATGAATAACAGTTGGTTTGGTTTGGAGATCGAATCGATTGATTATTCTAATTTTAATGAAATGATGATTTCCGAAGAGGCCGATTTGATTTATGAATAAACTGCTGAGAAATACTTTAAATGCATTATTATTCAGCGCAAAGTGGATTTTTATGCTGAGTTTTAAATGTGAATCACTTTCCTTAAATTCTATTCAAAACTAGACCACGCAATAGTCCTCGTGCAATGCCATCATTCTCAGGTATTGGATCATTGTGGAATTGCACAGTAACATCTGGCTCCAATTGTATTTCCGTTTTCATCTGAATTCCCGTACAACAGTTGTTCGGTGGGGTTTGTTTGAATCGAATTTCATACATCAAACCGGGTTTGATGAGAATGGGTTTGGCCAATGATATACGTGAAATATCGTCGAGCTTTAAATTGGTTGTGCTATTGTGCAGAACAAATTCTTTACCTGTGGCAGAAACATAAACAACCGATACTTCGGATGGCAACTTTTCTTTGAGATTTTCATACGTCCCATTTTGGTATATCATCGTTTTTGTGCAATAGAAAGAAGTTAATGCTAATGGCTCATTGGTTGAGAATCTTGTAGTTTCAATATTTTTAATGTAATAAGGCACGAAGGAATACTTATTCGCGATTGCTCGAGTACAATCTATTTCAAGCGCTTTATCACATACGATCCCTTTAAAACGTTGTCGACGTGTTCCATTGAACAGTTTGGCTTGAAAGTTTTTGTTTCCGATCAACTGAACAATTTCTCTGTATTCGTCGAGTGTAAATAGACCGCCGTACGAAGGATCGAGGTTGGCAAAGACTTCAATTGATATTGACGGATAATAAATTGCGTAGAACAATTCGCCCAGATGAGTTTTAACAATTTCCTTCGTCAAGTTTTCTTCTTCGCTAGCATTTCTAACCCAAGCCATGCATGCCTCGAAAACGTCAGCTTCCGAACAGGAAAACGAATCCAGTTTCAAAATGTGTCCAAGAGTCTTTTTGTCGCATTCCAAGAAATTCTCTGATGAAAAGACAGCCTTTGTATGGATTGCAATCATCAGTTCACACAGCCTCTTCAAATCGCTTTGTTCGTGGAGAATCGCTAGGCCATAAGCCAAACAAACGTTGTCATTGGTGATTGTTCGTCTCAAGAACTTTGTGCACAGGGCCAAACATTCAGTTACGTTGTACTTGTTGGCGAGATACATGACTTTGGCTACGTTGTCCATGGTCAGTTTCACTCGACCCAAGTAGAAGAATTGCAGGAACTCTTTGAAGGAGGCGATCGGCGCATCGACAATCTCGACTTCATGCATTTCAAGCCACGACCCATTGAACATCGTTTCAAACACATCGCTGACCGTGGTTAGCAACAATTTATGGGCTGGAACTCGTTCATATTGACCATCGCTCGACTCGAACATGAAATGGAAATCGGCATTTCTTTCATTCAAGTACAATTTGGCACCAATCGTCGCGTAAACTCCACTCACCAATTCATTGGCAGTTGGACTGGCGGCTGACATGGCTGGAGAGTATTGTGTTTTCACTGTTTGCAGCAAGCAGGGAGTACTCTAGAATTGATGTCGATTGCAGCAATTCAATGCACTGGAATATTACAAATAAAAGCAATGATTCAAATATAATTTTAGGCGTACACATTAGGATGGTTTTCATACCTGTGGCAACGGTTTTCCGGTGTTATCAGTGGGCTTGAACAAAATGAGGTTAGGTTCGATTGGAAATGAATGTTGATTGTTGACTCTGCAGAGAAATAAAAGTAGAATTACATTCGTAGCAAATAAAGAAACATTGTTTATTGTCCCCCCGAATAACATCCCTTTTTGAATGATAGAACCAAATTAGAACACCGGTTTTTGTGAGTGTGAAAAGATTGCAATTTTCACGCTCACAAAAACATTGAGCAGAACATCTGATTGCAAATGAGTTTATCTCACCTTGAACTGATTATTTTCTACAAAGTGGCAATGAAACAGCAAACAAATAAAAATCGTAATGTTGTTTGAATTTATGGACTTAGTAAATGTAATTTATTAAATTTCTTCGGATGATAGAATGGAAATTCCTAACAAAGTGAAATTATTTAATTTTCTTTTGTTTGTATTCTGTGACAGCTGGAATAATATTTCCGCTAAGTTTGCATTTGACATATGCTCATGTATTTGCATATGACATTACTCTGACTTGATCCGATTCTAATGACAGCTTATGTGTGAGCAAATGTACATAGCTTGTCAACTCAAACGTTACTATGGCTCAAATTGGAGCGCAATTCGATTTACATTCAAAATACATGCTATTTCTTTTTTGAATCAAATGTCTTCTAACCAAGATATTTATTTATTAAGGGGAAAATTGAAAAATAAATGATTAACATTTTTCAATTTGGTTCATTTTACCAGACACCGTGTGAGTTCTATTTTAGGGTCATTACATTTTGCAATTATTTTTGATCAACATGTTTTGTTTTGGTTTGTGAAAATTTGTTTAGATATTAGTGGTATTATGTTGAAATTCGGTATAATTCAAATTTGTAAATTAAACCTTCCATCACTTTGTCATCTCCTTCAGTAGAACCGTGGAATTTGACAGTAATACCAGACTCGATTTTCACTTCAGTCTTTAGATGAAAGGCCGTACAGCAGTTGGCTGGTGGATCTTGTTCCATTCGGATTTTGTATACGAATCCCGATTTGATGAGTATTGGATAGGGTAGAAGAATGCGTGTTTCTTTGTCTAAATCCACTTTGCGGTTATGAGCGAAAACTTCTTCACCCGAATCAGTTGATTCATTGAATTTCGTTATCATTATTTTCGTTGGAACTTTTTTGTTGCAAAGTTTATATATATTATTTTCAGACTCGTATAAACATTGACAAGTGATCGCTCCCAATAAAATTGTTTTGTTGACGGAGAAAGTGGTCATTTCAACGTTTTTGATGAAATATGAACTTCTATTGGAAATCAGTCGATCACATGTGACCACAGCGTTTTCATTCCACGTTGGACTGATTCCATAGAGTATTCCACGATTTGCACAGAATATTTTCGATTCGCAGTCTTCGGATGCAAACATTTGAATAATTTCTCTGTATTCATCGGCCTTGAATAGGCTCTCATATGAACGATCAAATGCAGCGAACTCTTTGGGCGACATCGATCCAAATGGTATTTCGTAAAATAAATCACCGAGATGTTTCTGAACAATTTCCCTTGTCAATTGCTCCTGTTTGCTAGCCGACTTTAGCCATGACATACACGCTTCATTTACATTGGCAGCAGTGCAAGAAAGCCAATCCAACTGCAAAATTCGTTTCAACACCTTTTGATCGCAGTCCAGAAAACTGCTTGATGAGAGTATTTCGTTCGTGTTGCATTTGATTTTGTTCTCACAAAATTCCATCAATCGTTCGTCTTCCAAAAGTATCGCAAGTCCATAGCCCATGCACATGTTCTCATTGGTGAGTGTGTTTAGCAAGAAGTCTTGACACGCATCCAAACATGCGAGGATGTCATACTTTTTTCCCATGTTCATCACTTGAGCCACGTTTGCAGTTGTCACTTTTACTCGGCCCAAGTAAATGAATTGCAGAAATTCCTTGAACGCAGACGGAGAAGCGTCGACTATCTTAGCTTCCTCTTTCTCCAGCCAAGACCCATTGAGCATTGAACGGAAGACGTCGCTCGCGTTGGCTAACAACAGCTTGTGCGCCGGAATACGTTCATACTGATCGTTGAACTCGACATCGAAATAAATGTCGGCCATCTCCTCGTTCAGGTACAGCTTTTCACCGATGTTCAAAATGCCTTTGACGTTATATTCTTTGGATGCTGAGTCAGTGGTTGCCATTGTCAGACTTGTGTGTGATAAGCTGCGGAATGTTTTGGTTGATGGTGGCGAATGGAAATCTCGAAAATACTGCAATTCAAAAGAGATGAAACAACAATAAATATTCAACTTTTAGCAAATATGATTGTGGCATTTAGACTCAAACTTCAAAGCCAATAGCAGCCTCTTGGATATTGCGATTATTTCTCTCACCAATTGTTAAATCCAAGAGTATTGCAGAAAGTATTCAAATTGAGATTACTTTGGTTCTGATGTCCGAATATTGAGTGTGGACCTACAAAAAGAGGTGAAAAAAATCGATTTGTGAACATGCCTTTTGATTTTTGTCACATTCGGTGTGAAATTTTTCTTTGCTTTATGTAGAAGAAAAAGACTTCTTACCTTCAAAGACAGAAAAGGAATCAACCGTCAGTCAGTTTTCTTCAATCTGGTCAACTCTCGACAATTTTGGTTTTATCTTGTAGGCCACCTGCCAAACAATTAAAATTCACAGTTCAGAATATAATAACACTTTTGTGAGGTTTGAATACAGGACGATTGCATAGTGTATGCCAATTCTAATTTGATGTTTGATATTCAGCTCCATGCGTGCTCCAGTTTGAACTTACTTAGAAAGGCTATGGTTTGCATGTGTTTCGAATGGTTTAATTGATGCCAAATACCCAAATAACTATACCAAGTGTGCGGTGTGAGAATTCTTCTGCAAACTACATCAAGTGACTGTGGTTGAATTGAGATGAATTTTTGCTTCCGACAATGACTTTGAGATGATTTCAAATTAAGCTGATTTTACAAGAGAGCTGAACTGTTTCGCTCATCAATATAAACTGAATAAGAAAAACTGAGAAGAATATTGAAATTCTGTGTTTAATCGTAGAATAGTTTCAGGGTGACTGCTTCATAAGTGAGTTTTGTATGCTACTGAAAAATAGATTGAATTCAATGACAGCTAAAATGATAGAAAAGCCGGTTCACATTTTTGTGGTTATGTTGACCTGTTGATGTGTGCGAAAAAAAACAAGTGGTCCATGTATGAATGCTAATACTTTGTATTGGTGATGAGAGCCCGAAGTGTCACATTTGTTTACATTTTTTATAACATGAATTCCCATTTGAAATCCATTAGCTCTGCATAAACATAGAACATTGGTATATAAAAAGCAGTTATTTTGATGCATTGCATTTATTTCACTTTGTGATCACAACAGTCGATACAAATGAGATACACGATTGAAAAGATTGTTTATATGAATTATATTTTATTATATTGAATTTTTCATTGAAAAAAAACTCTATTTTAACCCTTTAAAAGGCGATTTTTTTATTTTTTAATAATTGCGACTGCCACGATAAATACAGATGAACCTCATATTTGGATTTTTGGAAATTTGAGAATTTATCGAGAAAATCGGGAAAAAAATCCAAAGTTTCAAGATAAGGGAAGAAAAATTTGAAGTTTTGCTATAAATTCGCATTTTTCATAGCACATGAACAAACAACTTTCGATATAGCTGACAAATTGTAACGAGTAAGCTATCACATGAAAGCTGGTTCAATTCCCTACATTTATTAAAGGGTTAATGACTTTATTGGAAAATATTTTGTTTAGTTCTGAGACATTGACTCGATATCATTTAGATTCAATGAAATATGATTTCTGTTTGTAAAAAAGAAAACCAATGTGCTATCGAAAAAAAAACTCCATAAAAATAATATGAAAATGTATTGTAGCTTTTTCAGATAGGGTCAATGACAATTCACCCAGATGAGCTGCAACAATCTCCTTCGTCAAGTTGTCTTCTTCGCTAGCATTTATGACCCAGGCCATGCACGCCTCGAAAACGTCAGCTTTTGAACAGGAAAACGAATCCAGTTTCGAAATGTGCCCAAGAGTCTTTTTGTTGCAATCCAAAAAGCTGGTCGATGAAAAAATGTCCTTCGTATCGAGAGCGATCATCAGTTCATATAGCCTCTTTAAATCGTTTTGTTTGTGGAGAATCTCCAGGCCATAAGCTCAGCAAACGTTGTCGTCGGTGATTGTTCGTCTCAAGAACTTTGTGCACAGGCCAAACATTCAGTTACGTTGTACTTGTTGGCGAGATACATGACTTTGGCTACGTTGTCCATGGTCAGTTTCACTCGACCCAAGTAGAAGAATTGCAGGAACTCTTTGAAGGAGGCGATCGGCGCATCGACAATCTCGACTTCATGCATTTCAAGCTACGACCCATTGAACATCGTCAACACATCGCTGACCGTGGAACTTGTTAATATTGACCATCGCTCGACTCGAACATGAAATGGAAATCGGCTTTTTCTTCGTTCAAGTACAATGTGGATCCAATCGTCGCGTAAACTCCACTCACAAATTTGTTGGTAGCTAGACGGCTGACATGACTGGAGAATATTGTGTTTTCACTTTTTGATGAAAAAATGATAATTTGCCATGAAAAACGTAACTTTTGTTCGGGAGGTACCCCAAATATGCATTTTTCAAAGTTTTCGACAGAGAAGACTCATTATTTTCAAGAAAAAATAATTTTTTGCCAACCATAAAAAGTGTATATTTGAGGATTTTTCGATGGCAAGTCGATTTTTTGATAGTTGTAATCGAAGCAACGGAATATGAGGCCAGAAATATGTAAAAACATCACTCGACTTGGTCATGTCGGTACTCAACATCTTTGTGAGGGATCATACTAGAAGTTCAGAGGTAGCAAAGGCAGAAATTGTTGGCTCTATGGGGTGATTTAGCCGTAGAACTGAAGCTTATGGGCATGATTCGCTCATTTGGTTTGAAACAATCGCATTTTTTGACACAAAAATCATATAAACTTGTGTGGATTGATATTGGAAATCAATTCTACGTCAAAAATTAAGTGGATATAGACCCATAGTAGGTCACTGTAAGTGTGTTTTCTATGCCATAAATGTGATTTTGTATCAATCTTCCAATCGATCGATATTTTTATGAAGAAATGTCAATTTTTGACCAAATTTACAGGAAAATCGGTGTTAAAGTATTGAGTAACCCATTTTTGACGAAAAAATTGTAGTTGTCGAAGACAAAAACATCGTAAGAGGCCATTTTCGACCATTTTTTCAACATCACTGATAAACAGTTAAAAAAGGTGTCGTTCTTGATATCAATCCACCAACTTATCAAAACGAAATATGTGGTTCAACTACATTCGTCCCCTACTAAAATCTGAAATTCATGTGTAGAATCGTTCATTTCAAAAGCTGTAATTGTTACTACAGTGTTATCGCTTGAAACATCACTTTTGTCTACATTTGTACAGCATTGTCATTAACACATTTGTATGAAAATTGAAAAATCCATTCATTTTAGCGCTTTGCATTTATTCTACTTTGTAATAATAGCAATCGATACTAATGTGATGAAATACGATTGGAAAGGCTGTTCAATTTGATATAACAAATAAAAAGAATTACATTGGTAATCCCGAACTTTTCCGTACCGTTGGCCTGCGTTGTCCGTAGGTCCCAAGAGAAACGGCCAATATGTTTATACGCTGTCTATCCGCCGAAA